TTTTCTCAAGAAGTGGGTTTTTACCCACAAAAGCTTATGCCCAAATAAATCTGTTAGTCTTTAAGGTGCCACCGGACTCCTCGTTGGTTTTGTGGATACAGACTAACACGGCTACCCCCTGATACTTGTCTTTTAAAAATTATTTTTAATCCAATAACATCTCTTAAAAATAGATTGCAGAATCTGGGTTTAAGTGGCAAACACTTATGCACATGCTTAACTTTCAGCATTGAAGTCAATGGGACTGCTCACATGCATGAAGTTGAGCAGATGTTTAAATGTTTGCAGGATTGGAACCTAAGGGCATGATCCTGAATAGAGCCTTGCAACCCAGCCCAAACCTGACGGGACCTGACTACAGGTGGCTGGCCCAGGTCTGGTCATCTCTGATCACCTCTTCCTGCCTGTGGGCTCGGCGGGTTGTTCTACTGTGTGCCTCACTCCTGCTGGCCGCCACATCAGTATGCTGTGTATGCTGGGGCTCCTGTGTAGTGACAAGTCACACACCCTCTCCTGCTGCAGGAGGTGGCCAGAGATGGATTGTGGGCACCAGGCATAGGGAGTGGGAAGCCCCCACCAGGCCAAGCCCCAAGGATGAGGCAGCACAGGCTCAGGGTGAAATGTCGGGTTTGGGTCTGTAAACCTCTCAACACTCTCAGGTTGGGTTTAGGTCAGTTGTCCTTCACTTGGGTTTGGATCCTGGTCCAGCTTTAAATTTAGGCTTGAGCAGACCTCTAATCCTGAAAATACCTGCATGTAAATCACTTTAATCTCATACATAAATGCAGGATTGGAGCTTTAAACTATAAATTCTTTAGTTCAGGAACCTTCCCTGCTGCTGTGTTTGTACATCACCTAGCACAATGGGTCCCTGATTGTCACTGGTTCACTACCATAAATAAGTACTAAATAATAGTAATAATTAATAACAGTAAACCTGATGGCTTTCTAAATTAAAAAAAGCCAAAACAAAACGTAAAGACTTTTATTTCTCTAGTAGGCTTAGCCGTATAAGATATAGATGATTTATTTCCTACATGTATATAGCAACTAAGTAGAAGAGTTAGTCTGTCATTCTTATTTCATAAATCATGTTGTATTGATGGGAAAGTAAATAATGGATGGATGTTGTTTAAGGCATCATTTATTTTAAAACAATGTTAGAAAAGGATTTTATTTTCTAGCAGAGAACACAGATTACTGTTAACTTTTGTTAAGGAAATGTGAAAGGTTTTCAGTGGTAGTATATGATTTGTAGGTGTCATCTTCAATTATGCTCCCTAATAGTGGATACTCCTATAGAGGGGGCTAGTCTTATGACATATCAGCATTTTTGACACTGATGAGCTTCTGCTACTAGGGAAAGGAGAAAAATTGCATGATGTGACACTTACGTAAGGATATCTGTTGGGAGCTGCTGCATGGAATTGCTGTCAGCAGTTACAAAACAAGTGCTCGATTTTGCAAGCTCTTTGTGCACAGCTCTCATTGAATTCACTGGAACTCTTTATGTGGAGGGCTCGCAGGATTGAGCTCTGGCATTTCAGCAAATGATACAAAGAGCTATACAGGAGCTACAGAGAAGCCCAATGACCTTTCAATCCATTTAGTACATCACTTGCGGTTCCAGTGCCAAGGCAACTAGAACAATCATAAAAGTTGAGCAAAGACAGTTTAATTTTCTGCAGATGCTCTGGCTCTTGCTTAGTTTGTGAATCAGTGTATTATATAAATGAAAGAGTCAGTAAAATAATATTTTTATGGAGCCAGCTGTTTGTAAAGCAGCTAGCACACAAGTACCTTTCCTAGAGAGCTTGCACTCTACAATCTAATCTTCCCCATGCTAGCTCCTGGATGTAGGGTGGGATTCACAAAGGTGCTTAGGCTCCTAATTCCCATGAAATCAATGGGAGTTAGGCACCTAAATACCTATGGGAATCCCACCCAGAATGCTTACTACTCAATGGTGTTACTCATAAAAGTAAGAACTAATTACATCTTGTGGTATACATTTGCCTGATTAGGTCATAAATAAGCATGAGGAATGGAGAATGGCATATGACAAGAAGCAGAGCAAACTGGCAGTGTGGTGTAGCATATATCCCATTCCATCTATTTTTTTTTTTTTTTTTTTTTTTAAGATTGCTTGTTAGTGTTTCTGATAGTGCAGGAATGGAGGGTAGAAATGTCATCACTTGGTTCTAGTTAATTGCTAAAGTTGGCAGGCTAGGAAACATTTTCAGATGACTACTTTAAGGACAATCAGATTTCAAATTTGGTTGCCTAACAAGGAAATGTGATTTCTTGAATCTTTTTTTCTTGTGGGGGGAGGATTAGCAAAAATGAGTTGCTATTTAAAATGGTATTTGCTTCACTGTGTGTCGTACTGCCCTTTGCGCCCTCAAGGACACGCTGCCGAATTGATCTGCGGTTTTTAAAATACCGGATGAGTTGAGCGATTGGTCAGCGAATACATGTGTAATTAGCCATGTACACTGGTCTCATAATAATGCTGTAGGGGGTGTATCAGACTGAGCGGAGCCAGAGGAGGAATTTCATGACATCGTGGACAAGCTATCCGCTCCTGCTGTTGGATGGTGTTGAGAACAAAAGTGAGGCAGGAGCCCTGTTTCTGTTCTCCGCCTGGGGTGAGCCTGAAACAGTCTGCACACCTAGGATTTTCACATACAGCCCAGCACGGAGGGTGCTTTCCTGCATGTGATTAAACTTTCTCTCTCCAAATAGATTTTTGGTTGCCCTAGTCTAGTGGATAATAGAATTTTCCAAGCTCAAAATTAAGAGCTAGGGGAAGGCCCTATATCCAGTCCCCTCCCCTCCAGTGCAGGATATTCACAAGTTTTTATGTGACTCTCTAATGATGGAACTGTTACAATCCGAAAAGGCTTATTTCCTTATGTCTTTCTACAGCCCATCCCCATTGTACAGTGCACAGTACAGTGGAGTGCTGATCCATGCATCTGATGAAGTGGGTTTTTTACCCACGAAAGCTTATGCCCAAATAAATCTGTTAGTCTTTAAGGTGCCACCAGACTCCTCGTTGTTTTTGCCCTCAAAAGCCATTTTGTCTTTTTCTTGTATTTGCGATGAGTTTCTCACTGTAGTACTTGGTTGTATAGAGATGCTATATGCGAATCAGTTTCAAGGAAACATAAAGGAAGAGCTTACTACTGGGAACTCTTACTTGCAGCTAGCAGATGTCGTATTGCCAATACCCAACAACGGGCTGGCCTTGGAATTAAATTGCAAGAATTTAAAATCGTGACCCTCCACTCACCCACATGACTTATTTTTAACAAGAAAGAGGACAGAGGGACAAGGGATTCAATTAACAAAAGATGTGCCTGGTTAAAATAAGTGATTCACTAAAGCTATAACAGAAGAAAGCTTTGCCAATGCACGTGCTTATTGTCTTTCATAGTGTTGACAGTGACCTTCAATGAGCAGTACACTTTATGGGCCAGATCTTCAGTTTGGGTAAAAGGATGTAGCTCTGTGGATTTCAGTGAAGCTACACCTGTTTACACCAGCTGAGGATCGGGCCTTTTATCTCCATTGTCTGCCTAGTATCCTTATTAAATCCCATGACCCATAAGGCTATAGTTTCTTCTTTCTTATAATCCCTAGGAGATGCAGATGAAGCAAAGGAGGTTAAGGCTGCAGCTAACTGCTTTCAGATGAACTCCCTTGATGTTTGAATGAACTATTTCTTTTTTTCGCGACAACCAGCTTTGTAGCTGTGCTGCCTTCCTTTCTCATTGAACCTTGAGGATGTGCACCTTTCTGTGGAGGGTGGCCTTGGGGGTGGTGGTGGTGATGGGGAGCTTCTGAAGGCTTCTTGTTGCTCGACTGTGTTCAATCCCCTCACAGGGATTTTTCACTGGTGGCCATGGAGCTTTCTGCCAGCGAACCCAGCATTTATGACAAGCTATCGGAGACCATTGACCTGGTGAGGCAGACTGGACACCAATGTGGAATGTCAGAAAAAGCCATTGAGAAGTTTGTCAAGCAGCTCTTGGAAAAGAATGAGCCTCAAAGGGGACCCCCCCGGTACCCTCTCTTGATGGCTCTCTACAAGGTAAGCTATCTTTCTGAGCTGCAGGGATGGGAGATGTTGACGCTTATACATACATGCCTTTTAAGGGTTTGACGTTCTTCCTCTACATAATGGCAACTGAGGCTTGTATTTCCCCATAATTAAATAATAAAGGCACAACAGCAAACTATCCCAATGAGAAAGAAAGGAAGGAAGGAGGTAGTTGTCCTGTTCTACTTGACACTACTGAGGCCTCAGCTGGAGTATCCTGTCTAATTCTGGGTTCCACACTTTAAAAAAGATGTGGGCAATTGGAGAGAGTCTAGAGAAGAGCAACCAACATGCTAAAAAGTTTACAAAACCTGACTTATGAGGAAAGGGTTAAAAAAAACAAAAATAAAACACCTGGGCATGTTTACTCTTGAGAAAAGAAGAGTGAAGGAGCGGACCTGATAACAGTCCTCAAATATGTTAAGGGCTGTTATTAAGAGGACAGTGATCAATTGTTTTCCATATCTACAGACAGTAGGACAAGAAGTAATGGACTTCATCAGTAGGGATGAAAGGGAGATTTAGGTTAGATATTAGGAAATACTTTCTAACTATAAGAATAGTTAAGCACAAATAGTACTCCTGGGGGAATTCTGCACCAAAAAAATTAAAATTCTGCAAAATTCTGCATATTTTATTTGTTAAAACAACACAATATAATCACTCCAGTTTCAATTATTCTGGTAATTTATTTCAAAATACCTGTCAACAAGTATGTCAACAATACAGACAACAGAAAGAAAGATTCCCCCAGGAGTAGAGAGTTAAAGAAACCCTTACAACAACCCAGTTCCAGTTGGGGGGGTAGGGGGTGGGGGGTGGCGCTGGAGAGGACTGTGTGGGGCACACAGACACCAGCACCCCCCTCCCCAAAGAGCCCAGCCATGGGGCACCCTCTGCCTTGACACTATCACCCCTTTCCCCCACAGATTCCAGCCACAGGGCACCCCCCAGCCCAGAGACCAGCATCCTCTTCTCCCAGAGACCAGCAGTGGGCACACCCAGAGACCAGACACCAGCACCCTCCTCCCCCTAGAGCCCAGCCACGGGGCACCCCATGGTCCAGACACCAGCACTCCCAGAGCCTTTACTACCCCCAGCTTCTTTGCTGTTCTGCCAGGGGACATGGTGTGGTGCAGCCCAGCCCTTCCTCACTCTTTGCCAGAGCTGGGTCTTCGGGGCCCTCTCCCATTCCTGGGAGAATGAGGATCAAGCAGAGCGAGCAGCCACCAGCCCAGCCAGGCTGGGCGCTCCGCTTACTGCGAGCTGGACTCTGCAGAATCCAGCGGCCCATCTTGGCAGCCAGCAGCTCTGCAGGCCCAATTCTGCGGGGGAAACAGGGAATCCTGCAAAATTCTGCATTGCGCAGTGGTGCAGAATTCCCCCAAGAGTAAAATAGGCTTCCAAGGGAGGTTGTGGAATCCCCTTCTTTGGTGGTTTTAAAGAACAGGTGTCGCAGTGCTTGAGGTTATTTGGTCCTGCCTCAGTGCAGTGGGCTGGACTAGATGACCTTGTGAGGTCTCTTCCAGCCCTACATTTCTGTGATTCTATGATTTTCTTGAGGCGTCTCTCTGACTTTGCTATAACTAGCCACGTTCATATCCCTGCTCCCATTCTCCAGTGAGATTGCTTGAAGAAGATACGTTGACTGAGCCTTGGAACTGCCCCCAGTGTGTTGAAAGATGAGTGGCTAGGCATCCCCCTCTTAAAGAATGCGGCTCCGCCTCTGAGCTAATGAAAACTCATCACATCAGCACTTTTAGTGGAAACTTTAGTTTCCTAGTGTGATTGATATAGACTAGAGGAAGGATGGGACTTGTGGTTAAAGCTCAGGGTAGGGACTCAAGAGATCTGGGTTGTACTCCTGGCTCTGACACAGACTCCCCATTGACCTTGCACCTGTCTGCATCTGTTTTCTCATCTTAAAATGGAGATGCACCCCTCAAGAGGTTTAATGTTGGGAAAGTGCTTTGAGATTCTTGGCGGGAAAGTGCTACATAGTTCAAAGTAGGGTATTTATTGGGTAGGGGTGGTGGGTAAGGAGACAATTTCCAGTAGGGAGTGGTCAGATATTTGCTACAATGATGAGAAATTTCCCATTAAAAATACTACTGGATATAATTTTATTGTCCTCTTCTACAACGGACTCTAAAGATTTTTTGTCATCAAAAGAAGTCCAGTTTTGTCATTCCCAAGAATACACAAATGCTACATAGTGAGACGGAGGGGTGGGGGCGGGGGTCTTCTGGTTTGTATTCCTAGTTCTGTCAACTCACTGTGATTTCTTTGGGGCTTATTTTGGCTGATTGTACCAAGGAAATAACTTCACCAGAGTGTTTTGAGGCTTGGTTAATGCTTGCAAAGTGCTTTGAAATCCTTGCATAAAAGATACTATGGAAGTGCAAAATATCTGATTAGAGACTAGGAGTCTAGAACTGTTCATGGAGATCCCTGGCCTTTCTGATGAAGAATGTTAGTATTTAAGTGTTAAAAACAACCCCCCATGTCTGCAGATGTTTGTTTAAATACCAATTATCTTCATTCTTGTACAGCTCCAGTGAACGGAACTGAATGAGAAGTCTATACCTGCATGTGACTAGCATTGCTGTTTAAATGAGGTGTCTCAGCGGAAGTTAAAACACGCACAGCTCTGACACCAGAACCCTTCTTCATACCTGGGGGGAGGGATAGCTCAGTGGTTTGAGCATTGGCCTGCTAAACCCAGGGTTGTGAGTTCAATCCTTGCGGGGGCCACTTGGGGATCAGGGGCAAAATCAGTAGTTGGTCCTGCTCGTGAAGGCAGGGGGCTGGACTCGATGACCTTTCAAGGTCCCTTCCAGTTCTAGGAGATGGGATATCTCCATTAATTTAAATTTAAAGTTTCCATTCTGAAGACGTCTCCTTCTTTCAGTGTAATTAATCACTTGCCTGTCTTCTCTCACAGGGCCTGCTTACCCTGGGCTTAATCTTGCTAACTGCGTACTTCGTGATGCAGCCGTATAGCCCTTCGCCACCTGAAACCACGCTCTCCAGAGCCCATGCCTGGGGCTTCCTCGTTGGTCACATCCGGCTGCTGTCTTTGCCTATTGCCAAGAAGTACATGCTGGAGAGTAAGGAAATAATTTCTTTGCTGTTGCTTAACAGATGTAGTGATGTCAGAAAGACAATTGACTCCGAGTTGAATAGTAATTGCACACGCCTGCTGAATGTTTCACTTTCCACCAAACTAATAACACTTTACTGTGATTGCACCAGTCTTGTTTCTAGCACCGTATTTACATGCAATCTGTTTTATCAGTAGACAGAGCATGAAGTTAGCCTGAATAAGATTCCCACAAGCAGTTTCCAGTGTGTAGATCTGGGCTGAGGTGTATCTTCTCTATTAACTTTTTATATCAAATCCTTCTCTTCTTCTAGTACCAAAGGCCCTGGTGGAGAAGTTCACTTTCCCTCTACCAGCATATAAAAACAATGTCCTTGCTTGAAGTGGCTCAGTAAGGTACTCAGATATTGCAGTGATAGATCGATTTCCCTATAAATGCTGCCTCTTCGTTCTCAGTTAAGTAAGTGGGAGGTAGCTTTGTAAATCAAAGACCCCTGCAGTTCTGATTGGTTTAGGGAAAGGCAAGCTTTGCCCATTAGTGTGCTGGGAGAAGACTCTGGGTTTAATAACTGCAGCTTTTGTACACCTAGAACTCCCAGAGAAGTCAATGGCAGTTCCATGCATGGGATAGCTAGAGCATTGAATCCCTGAGTAGGTTTGTCAGTGTGACAGTGATGAACACAGTGTAAATGCCTGGATAGACATAATAGGAACGGAAAAGTTAGTGCTAAGTTCTCGTTTCCATTCTAAGTCAATTTCCACCAACCCAGCGGGACCGTGGGTGGGCAGTAGCATAGGGTCCTGTGGTAATTTTGATAAATCCCTCCTCCAGACTCCAGTAATGGCAATAAAGTTTTCAGTTATTCTAACTGAGAAGGTGGCGTGATAGTGATCGTCTTGCAGCCCGTTGTAAAGCAAAGGCTCAAGTTCTTGCCCTGAGTTGGTTTATATTTAGCGGCAGCGGTTCATTGTGTTAGAGTTCCATTATCTGGCTTTGAACTTCCTGTATCCGCTAAAAAGGACCCTCTGAAATGCCAGCTCCATTCTGCCTTTTCTCTGAGTGTCTCTCTCTGTTCCGTTGACATAAACACTAGACGGGCTATTGATTGAATCACAAGTGAGTGGGTCATGGTATCCCTCGTTCATTTCCTAGCTTGCAAATTGGGATTTCATGGGCAAAAAAACAGAGGAGAGGCCTCTGATTCCACGCTGGCATTGGTAGTCTGCTTATCTAACTCTCCCTACGTGTACTTGCAAAAATGTCCTTCATGCCAGTAAAATGTGTCTCAACTTCTCTGCTGGAAAGAGAAACACGGCAGATAGTTCTAGGCTTTCAATTTTTTTTAACTTGATCTAGTTAATAAAATGCCAAAATACTTCTTAAACACTTTCAGATGCTGCAATTTGTATGTACGTGGTTGTCTTGAGTGGGGAAAGGACAGTAAGGTTTCCTGACACTGGGGAATATCTAGGAAAGAGGCGAAGTCCCAATTCAGCTTCTGTTGAAGTCAATGAGCATCTTCCTATTGAGTTCAGTGGGAGCTGGATCAGCCTTTTTATGTTGGGGTGAATGGTAGGAGATGGAAAGGCATCCTAAGGGAATAGGAAAAGCCAGGGACTCTGGGAAGTTGGGAGAAGTTGTTAAAAATGTTTAAGTACCATAACTTTGCATGGATTTTAAGTCTATTCTAGATGGTGAAGCAGTGTGGTTTGACTAAAGGCCAAGGAGTCAAAGATAACCCCCCAGGCTTTGCAGATCAAGTGCTGTGGGACTGTTTCATTTTGGGGGGTTATTTTTGTGTGCCACCTATGTGGTAACCATAGCACCCAGACTTGAGCTCTTCGAGGTAGGTTTAGTGTCTCTGCCCACTTCAGGAATAGGAATGTCATCTCTCACTGGAGCTGTCTCTTGGAAGAGGGAGCTGTGTATCCAGGGCGGCCGATGTTGATTACTGAGGTGGCGTGTACATGAGCAGTGCTGGTGATTGGCGGTTTCACAGTGCTGCAGTGTGATTGGGGCCGTATAAAAAATAGTGCAGAGAAGCTAAAACAAGGGAGAGCTTGGGAGATAAAGAGGGAATTCAGGCAGTAGCTGGTGTCCACATCCCCACTGCTGGGAGACCACCCCTTAGTTGATCAGTGCCGCAGACCTTCTCCGACCCCTTCCAGCCTGGCAATTTGATGGGAAAATCCAGCTGACTTGATGTTCCCTGGAACCTGTAAACACACCTAGCTCCATTTTCCTGCCCAGTGCTTCTGTAGGAAGTGTAGTTCACAGCTTGGCTAGTCACTGTTGCTACAATTCCCACACAGGATAGATAATATAAGGGAATGAAGGCTGCTGCTTGTCTCGGCAAATGGAATATTGGGCACCCTGATAATTAAAAAACGTTAATAGCTATGGTTTGACCAAGAGGAAACCAGTTTAGGGGCCTAAAATATTCTGCCAGTGACCTCTTTGGAGGGGCCAAGTGTCTGGGATGAGGTCGGATTTTCTTTCTATAGCTTCATGAGTTCAGTGGAGCCTCTTTTAAATATCTCTTCATGTGCTGTGCTTGACTTAACTAAAAGGGCAGTGGGGATAGAAAATAGCAGTACACGTGTGTTGGAGGGATGTCACCACTGAGGGAGAGGAGTCATTTAGGGTAGTCCAGGGGTGTGGAGCAATGAGATAGGAGAAAGGAAACAGGCCAAATGTCAGGAAATGCAGTGAGATCGAGAGACTGGAATAGTCTCCAAGCAAGGCAGAAGCACCGTCCCTTTGGACATTTAAAACTGGGCAACATGCTAGCCTGAGACACATGCTAGAAAATATATTGCAAGGATCTTGCACTGGCAAAGGAGGAAGGAAGGTGGCACAGTTAAAGCCCTTGACAGAGACTTGGGAGGTCTGGGCTCAAGCCTGGCTATGCTGCAGATTTCCAGTGTGACCTTGGGCAAGTCACTTATCTCTCTGGGTCTCAGTTTCCCCATCTGTAAAATGGGGATTTTAATCTACCACCTGTTGCCTGTTTTATCTATTTAGTTCTTTGTGGGTTTAGGGTTTCTTACCATGGGTATGTACTGTGCCTTGCATAGTGGAGCCCTGATCTATAGGCCCCACCCAACATGCACTGCTCCTGTAGTAATACTAGGGTGGAATAGATGACCACGTGGGTTTTTCCCTCTTTGGTTTTTATGATTCGTTTAGCTCTGAGGCCCGTTTTGGGTTAAACTTTCAACATTCCCTTAGTGATCCAGCCTTTCTTATTGCTTACTACAGGAGGGTCATAATGCTGAGTTTGTCATCCCACTCATTTCCATGACTGTAGTTTGTGATGGTCCTAAAGGCAAGATTAGGCCTTTGCTAAGAATGGCCCAAAAGGAGAAACTGTGCCAGGAGGCAAAAAGTGATAAAGCAGCTAAAGGGGAAGGAAAAAGGAGCGGAGAAAAATACTAACCAAGGGATCAGAGATCATTTGCTAGGGGGACTGATTATGACACCCAGAGTCTTTCACATCTTGGTCACCAGTTCAAATCCAGCTGAGGCTGATATTGATTGAAAGGCCCCTGTCGGGGGTTCTGAGGCCACTATGGGTATGTCTACACTACACACTGAGCTTGGCTTCTGATTCACGTTTGAGCTCAAGACCCCCTTCCATGCACACACACAGCAGTCTGTCTTGGGCCAGCAAGTACTCAGGGTCCTAGGACCCTGCTAGGGGGATGAGTCAGAGTCCAAGTCCCACTGTGACTCAGATCCAAGTCCTGACGTGCAGTGTGCACACAGCTCAAGTTGTAGACCAGAGTCCGAAGGTCTGCGTAGTGCAGTATGGATGTATGAGCACAGCTGGGAGCCCCGGGTCCAGCAATTGTTAACCCAGGTTTACAATGCAGTGTGGACGCTCGAGCATGGGCTTGGAAACACAGAGTTCACAAGCCCGGGTCTCTCAGACCCATGTTCAGTGTAGACGTACCTTATATGAAATAGGCCTGACAGCCTCGGTCTAGTTCTTGGTAGACAAACATTGGCCATGCAAAACCCACCAACCTAACTGGCGCTATCATGGGCAGCGTCTGTATAGAGGCAAGGGGCTGCCAGGCGCCAGGGAGTGTTGTGAGGATGTATGATAAGGATTGTGAGCCCCTCATAGTATGGCAATGGGGGGGCCATACAAGCACCTAGTCAAAATAGATAGGTGCTTTTCCCATGGCCATGTGGAGCTGATACATGGTAATGGATGGGATATAAATAGCTTGACAGACTGACCAGCTGGTTCTCATAAGGTTCCTTCCCCACCCCCACTCCCCGCCCCAGCCTGCCACATCAAAGTAGCTGCATACCTTGGATATTTTTATTCTCATTTCAATGTGAATTTAGATGCCAGATTGACGGCTGTGGATAGCTGAACCCTTCTCAACAGAACAGGTGCAGCCTGGGCTGCGTCAGCTCAAGCCTCCTTCACACAGCCTGCTTGCCTGCCACACACCTGCCTTGGAAGGAGCCACTCTAGGGGCAAGTGGATAATCCACTGTCAGTGACCCACTAGTGGTGTTCTCAGGAATCCACATCACAAAGAAATGGCCTGAGACCCAGTTCGCCAAACTCATTTCACACAGGTCCCCAAACAACCTTCAGATTGTTGTTGTATTACTGTGGTCCCAGGAGTCCAAGTCATGGGCCAGGACCTTGTTGTGCTAGGTGCTGTCCAAACACAACACAAAGCTAGTCTCTGCCCCAAGAAGCCCACCCGGGGATGTTAATAGCTTTCAGTCACAACTCAGGCTGGATTTGAGCCAGCGAACTTGAGGGAGAACGTTCCATTGCCTGTTTACGATCTCCTGAGCTGCCCAGCTCACCGCAACAACTTTCTCTTTGGACGTTTATTTTCTGCTTCACATTTTGGTCGCATATGAAAATGAAAAGAATAGTGAATATGTTCCACCCTCTCCATTTCCCATAGGAGCCCTCAAGTTGTCCGTGAATCACGTGGACACAACAAAGGGTTGTTTTTTGTGTGTATGTGT